CGCCGCCTGTGCCCCTGCCGCCCTGCAGGGTCCTGGGGTCCAGGGAGGCGGCCGCTCGCCCGGGCCACAGCTCCAGAGCCGAGCGCCTGGAGGCCGTGGGATGGCGACCCGGGTCTTTCCCGCCGCTCCCTCCCCGCCTCCCTGGGCCCTAATCTTTCTCGCCCGCTGGGCTTCCTGCGGCTCTCCTCGCTTCCTCGGCTGTCCCTGGCTGTTTTCTCCTCTCTCCCTCCGTCCGCTCGCTCGAAGCCCCTAGGTACATCCAGCCCTGCACACCAAACAAGGACGGGGACCCTGGGGTGGAGGGGATCCTCCCTGCCATCGCCACACCTGTGCCCGCCTCTCCCACCCCGAGGCCCCGGCGGGGGAGGGAGGGGCAGTAGCGGGGGTCGTCGCCACCCCCCAAACCTCCAAGTCTTCCATTTTCTGGCACTCATCGACGTCCCTCTCCCCATCTCGGAGCCCCAACTCTGGCCTCTTTCACGGGCCGTCTGGCCCCTTGGACAGATTGGGGAAGGTCACCAGAAACTCACGACCCCCCATTAGGGGAGGAGCGACGAGGTAGCACAGTGCTGTACACGGAACCGAACGGCCCCCGGGGTGGGGGGAGGGCGGGAGCGATTTTTAACGAGGCTGGGGGGAGGGGCACTGGGGGAAGGGTGGGGTGGGGGGCCTGGCTCTGTTATTTACTGTGTATCATATGTAAATACGACAGAAACTTCAATAAACTTTATTTCAAACATGTCTTCGTCGGTCCAGAGGAGGGGATGGAGACCGAGACGGGCTCAGTTCCTTGTCTGTCCCTGGTTAGGGTCCGAAGTGCGCAGTCCGCTAGATTGGCCGGTGTGTGTAGAGCAGTAGGACAGCAAACGGCACTGGTCGGGATCAATCAAGGGGAGCTCCGACAGCCGTGACCCCTGAGAACACTCACCAGGGCTGGCTCCCCACATGCCCTGTTCGTGGAACTCCTCCCAAGCCTTTGCAGAAAGATCCTCCATGGAGGTGAAATGACTCACCCAAGACCACACAGGTAGAAGCGGCAGAGCCCGGACCAGCAGAGGCATAAAGGTTATGCCGCAGGACTTTCGCATAGTTGATCGCGGTTCGAGTCCTGGACCTGGACCCGGGGGTTTAAAACATGCTGGGCACCTGTACGCCTGTAGTGCATGCAGGAATCCTGAAAGGGGAATGAGGAGGGATTAGGTGTGGCCATCCCCTCTGGGGGGATATCTCGCTTTCTGTCTCCCGTGAGAGCACACACCCTATAGTAAAATCCCTTACCCCCCAAAAGAAAATGAAGAAGTCAGCAGAGCCATGAGCTGAAACCAAGTCCCCATGTCCCCAGTTTGGGCAGCTTCTGCTTGTACTAGGTGTGATAGATTTTGCCAGCCTCTGGCTCTGTCACTTGGTTGAGAAATCACTTACCACGGACTGTACACTGACCACGACCTGATGTTTTTCTTTTCTTTCTTTTTTAAGAGAGTTTTTTTGCTATAGGATGTGTGTTCTCTGGAAAGAGAGAGACAGAGAGACAAAGTGAGAAATCACCCCCCAGGGGATGGCCACGCCACAATCCCTTCTCCTCCTCTCCTCTCAGGATCTTGGGCACCCACGCACATGCATCCGGCCTGAGTTTTAAGCTGCTGGGTCTGGGACTCGAACCGCAGTCTACGACGTGGGAGTCCAATGACATAACCATTATGCCACCGGCTGGTTCCAGACCAGGCATCTTTCTTCCATGCACAATGTCACTAGATGTCCCTGGCAGCCCTGACTACAGGAATTACCACCCTGCGTTTGCAGGGGACGGAGGGACCTTGGCAGTGGTCACTCCACAATACTGAAGGGTCAAGGGTCACGGCCAGACCCAGTGTTTGGTAAGCTTATTCTAGAAGTGTATTGTCAAGGAAACGATGCCGGCCCTCCTTTCCAGCTACCCTGGGTACCAACACTGTGCTGAGCACCCTTCACTTACTAGTTTGTGGGAGCCCCCGTCACCCCATGAATTAGGACCCAGCGGAGTCCCACTTTATAGGTGAAGAGACTGAGTGTCAGGGAAGTAAGTTTACTCAGTTGGGAAAATGCAGAGGAACTGATACCTGGGCCCGTCTGACCCCGAGCCAGAGCCGAGCTGACTCTGGACCTGCTGTATTTTCCTACCAGACTGGATGCAAACTCATTCTGTGACCTTGAACAAGTCTTTTAATCTCTGGGGCTTCCGTTTCCTTTTCTATTTAAAAAAAAAAAAACATGAGGGGGAAGGATTAGAAGGGTTCCAAATCCCTCTGGAACAGGAAGGTTGGTGGGGGCAGGTTAGCAAAAAAAAAAAGCAGGATCAGCCTCCCGGAGGGAAACGTTCTGAGTCATTTTCGATGATTCCAGGAATTTCTGGAGGTCATGCTTAAGATTTGGGATGGCAAATGTGTTTCAGCTGCTTTGTCAAAAATAATTGATTTGAGTGGCTGCTTGGAGTGCGCTGCTCGGAGGGCTCTACATCCGCCCCGTGGGAGACTGCCCCTGCCAGTGGGTGCTGTCTGCCTGGTCTGCAGGGTGGGAAGCAAGGATGGGCGTGCTGGAACTGAACATCCCGAAATCCTGAAGCTTATGTTCTTTTTTTTTTTTTTTTTCCTTTGGAGAGGTTTTTGCTATAGGGAACATGCACTCGCCAGACAGACAGACAGGACTGAGAGACAGCGAGAAATCACCCCCCAGGGGGGATGGCCACGCTGCAATCCCTTCTCCTCCATTCTCCTCCCGGGATCCTGGGCACGCATGCACACGCACCCGGTGTGAGTTTAAGCCGCTGGGTCCGGGACTCAAACGACGGTCGACTACATGCGAGTCCAGTGACATAGCCATAATGCTAACTGCTGGTCCCCCAAAATAAGCTAATTTTTAAAAATAATTGTTTTATTTAATTTTATTCACTTTCATGATTTATTTATTTATTTATTTATTGAGGTTGACCAGAGAGCCAGGGAGAAAGGAAGGGAGGAAGCAGACTGCCAGGTCTGGGACTCAAACTGTGGTCAGCCATGTTGGAGTGTCCAGCACCTTATCCACCATGCCATCTGCTGGTCCTGCTCATTTTTTTTTTTTAATTTTAAAATAAAATGGAATTCCAGAGTCAAAGGTTTCTTTTTCCTCTCACAGAAAAGTTGTGAAAAGTCCCACTTTCATCCAAGTCGGGAGGCCCTGACATTCGGAAACCCTCTTCCCCCAGGGCATGGTCAGCCCTCACTGCACAATTTCGCCAATACTCTGCGTGCTGAAGCGTGTACACATGCGCTTCAGCCCACCAACCGGCGCGTGCGCAGCGTGTCCTCGCCTGTCTATTGCGGGGTCTGTTGTGGGATGCACACACTTCCCAGTTCCCATACGACGTGCCATGGAGCCCACTTGGTATCACTTACCAATGCTGTCTTGCTTCTGAAGGCGCCTTAATCAGAGCAGTGTGCGCACAGTAATTGTATCATTTATCAAGTGCTTCCTGCGTGGCAGCCGCTCTGCATTCCAGCCCGGAGCACCTCATCGCCATAACCCCAGGAGTTTTTGCACACTTGGTGTCATCTCTGTATTTACAGAACGATGTTCCACAGCAGTGGTTCTCAAAGTATGGCCCAGGGACGCTGGGAATCCCTGAAACCTGTTTAAGAGGTCTGTAGGATGAGACCAGCAGGTGGCATGGTGGTTAAGGCACTGGACTCTCCCACATGGCTGACCATGGTTTGAATCCTGGACCTGGTGACTTGCTTTCTCACTTTCCCTCTCTCTGTGTGTCTCTTTCTCTGGTCTGGTTAAAATAAATGAATGAATAAATAAAATTAAATAAATAATTCTTAAAAAAAAATAAGAGAGGTCCACAGGTGAAACTTGACAGTCACACTAAGATGTTTTCTCCTCTCTTGTCTGTGAGCACGCGGGGCCTGAGGGCACTGAAAGTGTCACGATGAGAACACAGCAGGCACAGCCCCGGACGGACACCAGGCCCGGCCTTTCCTACTAGGCCACGTGCTACGTTGACCTTTAGAAATATAAAAATTTGATCTTTAGAAATATAAAAATTTTTTCGTTTGCTTGTTTTGGAAACTATAGTTACTTTCCATTAAATAAGTTGCTTAGGGTCTGGCAGGCAGCTTGGGGGTTAAGGGTGCTGGACTTTCACATGGCCAACCATGGTTCAAATCCCAGAACTGCAGGCTTGTTTTCTCGCTTTCCCCCTCTTTTTCTCGTCAAATAATAATAATAATAATAAATAAAGTAAAATTATTTTAAAAATAAATTGCTTGTCTTGGGGCCAGCAGGTGGCAAGGTGATTCAGGTGCTGGACTCCCACATGATTGCCTGTGGTTTGAGTCCTGGATCTAACGGCTTGAAACTCATGTCTAGTACGCACGTGCATGCCCAGAATCCCAAGAGGAGAATGGAGAAGAAGGGATTGCAACTTGGCCTTCCTCCCAGGGGGTGATTTCTTACTTTCCCACTCTGTCTCTCTTTAGTGCAACATGGCAAAAAACAAACAAACAAACAAAAAAAACAGTTAAAAAAAAGTTGCTTATTGGGACCAGCAGGTGGTGTGGTTAAGGCACTGGACACTCCCATGTGGTCAATCTACCGTGGTTCGAGTCCTGGACCTAATGGCTTGCTTTCCCACTTTCCCTCTTCTCTCTCGCTCTGTCTCCCACTGGTCAAGTTTTAAAAAAAAGAAAAAAATGAAAGAATAAATAAAATTGGGGACCAGCAGTTGGCATAATGGCCATGTTGCTGGACTCCCAGGTAGTCGACTGCAGTTCCAGTCCCAGATCGATAGCTTAAAACTCACGCTGGGTGCGTGTACGTGCGTACCCAGGATCCCGAGAGGAGAATGGAGGAGAAGGGATTGCGGCATGGCCATCCCCCCTTGGGGGGGGTGATTTCTCGCTTTCTGTCTCTCTCTCTCTCTCTGGCAAGTGCACGCACCCTATAGCAAAAACCTCTCCCAAATAAATAAATAAATAAATAAAGTTGAATAAATAATTCTAAAAAATGTTGTTTATATAAACACGAGTTTATTATTTCACTACTCCCGCAGTCCCATGTGGGAGTCCATTGCCATAACCACTACGCCACCTACTGGCCCCAGAAATAATTTTTTTAAAGTAAGCAGTGGAGAGGCTGGCTCTTGAGCCTAGCAGTTAAGGGAGCCAGGCCCCACATGGGTGACTGCAGTTCAAAGCCCAGCCTGGAAGACTGCGAAACCCACCATGGGCGTATGCAGGGGTGCCCTAAGTTCTGACTGCATGGGGCGCTCTCCCTACCCCCCACCCCTCTGTGGCTGCCCGTCTCAGGCAAGCACACACGCATGCCAGCAATGAAAACACGAAGCAGAGGAGGAGTGCAGAGAGCACGCATGGCCAGCGAGGGCGGTGCAGGGCCTCGGGGAGGCCCTGGTCAGCAGGAGCGAGTGGCCGGCCGTCCTGGCCAACCGGGAGGTGGCAGGGAGACCCCGCGAAGCGGGACCGTCAGAGTAACCGGCTCTCTCTCTATTCCCCGAAAGAAACAAGTACACTGTAAAAAATAAACAAGTGGGGCTGGCAGGTGGCATGGTGGTTCAGGTGCTGGACTCCCACATGGCTGACTGTGGTTCAAGTCCTGAGCCTGGCAGCTTATTTTCTCACTCTCTCTCTCCCTGGTCAAACTGAAGAATAACAGTAAAAAATAAAATAAATAGTTAAAAAAAGAATTAATTTAGTCTCATTCTTCTTGATCCCAGTCTCAGTTCTCAGAGGGCGTGATGGCTTCAGTTCCTTCTAGGTCAGCGAAGCTCAGCTGGGGTTATTTTGCTGCCAGGGTCACATCTGGCAATGCCTGAGATGTTTGGGGTGTCAGAGTGGGGGTGGGGCGGGATGCTGCTACTGACACCTAGTGGGGTTCCGGGGGACAAGCTGCCTGCAGGGGACGAATCCTTGGGTCAGCGTGCGGTGAGTGTGCGCTGGGCTGAGATGGGACTGGGGCCGAGGCTGGGGAACCCTGCCATGGCTCTTGTCCTTGCTTTTATATATGTCCCCCCCACCTTTTTTCCTTTTTATAAGCGCCAAAAACACTTTACTAAGTCAATTTATGATTCTTCTTTCATTTTTAGATTTTTTTTTTTTTTGGAGAGATTTTCACTGTAGGGCGCGTGTGCTCGCCAGACAGACAGAGAGAGACATAGAGACAGAAAGCGAGAAATCACCCCCCAGGGGGGATGTTCACGCCGCAATCCCTTCTCCTCCATTCTCCTCTCGGGATCTTGGGCATGCACACACGCGCGCCCGGCGTGAGTTTTAAGCCACCGGGTCCGGGACACGAACCACGGTCGACCACGTGGGAGTCCAGCGACATAGCCATTACGCTAACTGCTGGTTCCCCCATTTTTAGATATTTTTGTTATGGGCTTGTGTGCTCACCAGAGAGATGGACAGAAAGTGAGAAATCACCCCCC